TGATGAATCCCCTGCCCCAGTACCTGCATGTCCCTCCGCGTGATGAATCCCCTGCCCCTGTACCTGCATGTCCCTCCGTGTGATGAATCCCTTATCTTCTATGTCACAGATCTGAAAGAACTCCCGTGTCTTCTCCAGCATGGCCACATGTCCAGGGCTCCTGTTCTTGGGATTCTCCCACCGGAGGTCACAGCCATCCCCGTTGTCCTGCTCCCTGACATGCGTGGCTTTGGCGGTTCTGCCGGCATGCACGCTCATGCACTTGTGCGCCATGTTGCCTCGCGACTGGTCCACTCGCCTCACACGGCCAGGAAGCGATGGCCACGTCCTCCCCTGCCACAAGACCCCGACATTAGCGCATCCACATCAAACACACGCATTCACACCCACACAGTCACACCAAGCAATACTTTCCCAGCGATAAAAAAACCCCACAGCAGCTCAGGGTTCAGGCAAAGGTGCATCGGCTCCTGCCGACGCTGCCGCTGCTCTAATTAGTCGACGAAGCCTATGAAAGGAAGAAAGGCAGGTTAAAGAACGGGCCCTCCAAATAAATGAAAAAATAAATGACAAAAAGCCATGGATACTCTGTAATTGCGGAAGGAAATCAGCAAATGGCGTGTTTATGATGTCTGACAGCACGCACACGTGGATGGATCACAAGCGGGACATTTAACTAATTTTATGCCGGAAGCCAATTTCGCATTTACTTTAAACCAATTACAGGGACAGAGGGAAAGACATGACCATCTTTCAAAAATGACCACTTACATCTTAAAAGCTTTCTATTTACATGTAAGGCTATCGGTGGTTACAGAATAATGCAAATCAACGGAACCATGAATAACACACATCTTCGTAGTTCTGTTTTTCATGAAAAAGATAAATGGTTGTGTATTTTTAAATAGTCAGCGCCATAGAAAGGAAATCAACATCAACTAATCCAAAAAAGGATTCTAGGCTATAAACTGAAAATTATGTTCTTAAATAAAACAACTTTAAAAGAACGGCTTGTTTTCCTATTGTTTCTTTTAATAATAAAAACAACAGGATGAGTTCCAACTAGTATAGGATTTTTCAACCGTTTTTCTCTCCACGGTGATATTTATTGACGTAGGATTCAACCTTTCAGTAAAAAGAACAGTGCTATTAAATGTTCAAAATCCATTAAATGCCAAATGTTCTAGGCTTCTTTCTTAAGAAACAAGCAACTTGGCAATAAAAAGACCAATTTCCCCTACACCTGACTAAACGCATACTTTATTCCGCAGACCGGAGCGCTGTGATTATCGATCGCGGGCCGCCAATTGATCGGCTATGTCGCCGACGTGCGTCCCTGCTGGGGGGCTGGAAATCATGTTTAGGGACTCGAGTTCGTTCGCGAAGATTCGTTAACTTCCCACACCCGTCGGTGGCGGATGAACTGAAAGAAATATACAGTGACTCGCTCATCGAGCAATATGAACGAATCGGTGCGTTGAACGAGATCATGTCACTTATTTAAAAGATCAGAAAGACCGGATCGTTCATGAATGCCGGGTTCAGTACCTGCACAGGCGGACGGATCTCGCCGTGAGACGCCCCCTGCAGCGTCACAGCAAATGCTCGGTAGCAGCCAGGGGTACGTTTGCCAACAGCTCCCGTTACCAATTTACATAATTGTTAGAGTTTAGTTGTATGTTCCAATTAGGGTGGTAGCAGCTATAAGCTTTTTGGGAAACGTGCCCAGGCTGTTTCACTCAGGCGATATACGGATTCTTTATAGCTATAAAGTATATCTTGAGATAAACATTTTACATTTAACATTACAGTTGTGATCCACCTACTGAAGTCATACCTCAGCCTCGCGCTCCTGCCCCCATCGCGGTTTTACTACATCCAGCATATGATGTCAGTTGCAACTTCTCAGTTAGCAGCGTTTCAACAGGAAACGCTGTTGCAAAAACTTGCGACACAATAATTAAAAAAAAATATATATCAACGCGGCTCAGCTCAGCTGGCATGTTTTTCTATCGAGTAGTTCCTCTTTTCCCGCAATCTACCCAAACATAAAGTGAGGTTGGCGGACCGAGCTCAGTGCTACCCCCTGACTATAAAGGTCTCCATAAAACGGGGGCGAGTTCGCGTCGTTCTGGATCACAGAAGTCACCCATTTCTGTGTGACACGGCATTGCTGTCACACACTGTGGTTTTCACTCGTATCTCGCAAGCTGTCCCTCCCCAAACCACCGAGATGCAGAAACAGGACCGTTGACCTCCGGCCGCTTTCCACCTTGGGCCGGCAAGCTGGGCTCCGCCGTCAAGTAACTACGCTTCAAGTTCCACACAATCAACATTTTCAGTCACCATAATGATAACCGATTATGCAATGGGATGGCAGTACAGAAAAACGTCTTTTGCAAATATATATACACTCACCTAAAGGATTATTAGGAACACCATACTAATACGGTGTTTGACCCTCTTTCGCCTTCAGAACTGCCTTAATTCTACGTGGCATTGATTCAACAAGGTGCTGAAAGCATTCTTTAGAAATGTTGGCCCATATTGATAGGATAGCATCTTGCAGTTGATGGAGATTTGTGGGATGCACATCCAGGGCACGAAGCTCCCGTTCCACCACATCCCAAAGATGCTGTATTGGGTTGAGATCTGGTGACTGTGGGGGCCATTGTAGTACAATGAATGCATTGTCATGTTCAAGAAACCAATTTGAAATGATTCGAGCTTTGTGACATGGTGCATTATCCTGCTGGAAGTAGCCATCAGAGGATGGGTACATGGTGGTCATAAAGGGATGGACATGGTCAGAAACAATGCTCAGGTAGGCCGTGGCATTTAAACGATGCCCAATTGGCACTAAGGGACCTAAAGTGTGCCAAGAAAACATCCCCCACACCATTACACCACCACCAGCAGCCTGCACAGTGGTAACAAGGCATGATGGATCCATGTTCTCATTCTGTTTACGCCAAATTCTGACTCTACCATTTGAATGTCTCAACAGAAATCAAGACTCATCAGACCAGGCAACATTTTTCCAGTCTTCAACTGTCCAATTTTGGTGAGCTCGTGCAAATTGTAGCCTCTTTTTCCTATTTGTAGTGGAGATGAGTGGTACCCGGTGGCGTCTTCTGCTGTTGTAGCCCATCCGCCTCAAGGTTGTGCGTGTTGTGGCTTCACAAATGCTTTGCTGCATACCTCGGAAGTAACGAGTGGTTATTTCAGTCAAAGTTGCTCTTCTATCAGCTTGAATCAGTCGGCCCATTCTCCTCTGACCTCTAGCATCAACAAGGCATTTTCGCCCACAGGACTGCCGCATACTGGATGTTTTTCCCTTTGCACACCATTCTTTGTAAACCCTAGAAATGCTTGTGCGTGAAAATCCCAGTAACTGAGCAGATTGTGAAATACTCAGACCGGCCCATCTGGCACCAACAACCTTGCCATGCTCAAAATTGCTTAAATCACCTTTCTTTCCCATTCTGACATTCAGTTTGGAGTTCAGGAGATTGTCTTGACCAGGACCACACCCCTAAATGCATTGAAGCAACTGCCATGTGATTGGTTGATTAGATAATTGCATTAATGAGAAATTGAACAGGTGTTCCTAATAATCCTTTAGGTGAGTGTGTGTGTATATATATATATATATATATAGTGGAAAACAAGTGTCTGGTAACTAAAGATTCTGGTAGCCAGCTGAAATTATGGATATCCATCTTCCAAGTGCATTCTCCATACAGGGCCCAGGGCCTCCCCCTGCCAGACGGGGGCACCGGAACATCCTGCCCTCCACGCCAATCGCATTTTATGTAGCCTAATATTACTTAGGTAATGTTAAGTTAAAAGCTATGTTTACCGTGGCGTGTTATTGTAACATAGCCGAGAGTTGGGCTTCAGCCAAGACACTGTCTTCTATTCACAGAAGGGTCAGCCTTGTGTTGGAGGAAAAACTGTTATTATTAAAGCTCAGAATTTTCATGATGAATTTCAACCATTTCTAAAAGTTACATGGTTAAATCTGATTTAGAACCAGTCTGGGGCAACAATTTTATGGTAGTCATTGGACAAACATGAATCATACATAGCACTGGCAAAACTTTATTTCCCAAATTGTAACATATCTTAATAATTCTATAGGCCTCTAGGAACGCGGTATCATTAATATATACATCTGTTTCCCTTCTCAGTGAAAAATAAAATAGACTTGAGAATTTAAAGATTCTATTGCCGCTGCTTGTCATCAGGCGACTTCAGGGTGGGTTGAACGGTTGTCGGATCCTATTGAACAATAGGGTAAAGTGGTAAACAACTCAGAATTACCATTAAGCCAATTACAAGTCAAAAACTGTTTTGGTTTTTCATGTCACGTATACTGGTGTATTAGTGAGCCCAAGCTACTAAGCAGACAATGAACGTACTGTAGAGAAACCTGTCGCGCGCTGCTCTGCTCACATGGCGCAAGGTGGAAATAAACCATCTGTTTGTTTAGATTAAAGTGGATCTTAATCATGGGCGTCGCCGCCATTAAATCTGAGGGGGACATTTCATAATTATTCGTCTGGACCCCCCCAGAATTTAACATAAAATATTAGTTTTATGCCAGTGTGTCCCCCCACACACATTCAAAATGCTTCTGACGCCCCTGAACTTAATTGATCTTAGATTAAAGATTATTGCGATCCCTATACCTCATTCAGTAAAGTTTAAAAGTACCTGAAGTGTACCTTAAGTGTAACTTACCGAGCACATGATAAACCCACGTAGTCCTGGAGAATTTTATAATGGGGGCATGATCAGCGATCTGCTGTACTATACCCCAGGTCTCATTGTAATTTATTATTATTATTATTATAATAACATTTCTTTGCATTTATGGCATGCAAAATATACTTTCCAGGGAAAAGTTTTATCAAGGTAATGACATACGTTAGTGTCAGACACATTTGAATATATTTGTTTATGGAAATGCGTGGCGCTGCCGTGTGATGGTAAGAGCACAAGAGAAACTGCAACAGGAGAAATCTGACCGATACAGGTACATGAAATGTTGGTATCAGTTTGAGTAGGTTGCTGTAAAGGACAGAGAAAGCCAATGATTAAATGGAGTTCTAGTTACTGTAAAGACTCTAAATCTACAGGTGTCAGGAGAAAGCCTGCTTACAAAATGTTTGTTTTACATGCTCAGATTTCGATTTTAAATCGATTAATTTCTAATGAGAATTTGACCTTTTCAATGGAACAATACAATACTTTGCAAAACCATTTTTTCCCCCAACAGTAATGCCGGAAAATGTGAAAGGCGGCATAAACAGTTTCACCCAGAAACATGATGAGTTAAAACTTCACAATTGCATTTATTCTTGCCATTCTCCACTTAACTGACAGCAACAGGAGATAAGGAAAAAAGCTAGACATTATCATACACGTTCAAGTAGGAATATGCGAAACAGCCGTAAATGATCTTACCGTTACTTTTGCTCGAAAAGACGCAAGTTGTCAGTAACTTTTCAGTGGCGCAAATGTCAAACGTTTGAATTCAAGACTTTATAAACTTTATAGATCGGGATGAAACGATCGCCACAGGACGCCGTTAGATGACCAGCGTCGGAACGCGTTTAAACCCGGCAGTATCCCCGGAGCACTTTGAATGAACGAGCCCAGCGTATAAACACTGTTGTTCCTGCATGTAGTGTGTTTGGAGCCTGGGGGAGGGTCCCCGATTACATTAATTTATAGCTGTAACTATAGCGACGCGGGCGCGCAGAGCATGCGCGGTGTGTCTGCGGCGGATCCGCGCCTCGCACCCGAGTCTGGGCTGCGGTAGGAGATCGGCGTCCGCACTGCACGTCCTGCGCGAGCGAAAATGCAGCAACCAGCGTCCTCACGTCATCCCAGGCAACTGGACATAACCGCGAAGGAACATGCTAATCTATACATACCGTCAGGGCTGAAATGCACAGCATTTCCAGCGTGTCCCGGCCTTTACCTAGACAATTTATGTCGGTCCTCTGATGTGTCAAATAAATAAAATTCGTGGTAAATATCTGAATTCCACAGAAAAATAAGCTTTTAGTTTCTTATTGGGTCCTGTGTAATTTCAAGAGTGTTTCAGAAAACGGCAACAGGAGTGGCAGGACCCGTCAAACTTGTACATATAGCAGAAGTTACCCCACCAATATTGCCGGTTACATCAATCAGCATCAGGTGATCACATGATCACTTACTGCATACTGCAATGATCTGGGTTGAGTTTCCCGAAGCCTTCTTAACGCTACGTCGTTCGTTCGTTCTATCTTTTAACACAGAAATTAAGAACGACGTAGCGTTAAGAACGCTTCGGGAAACTCACCCCTGCTCACGCTAAACTTCACAACTTAACTGTCTATTACCCATGGGTAATACACAATCATTCCGTTTCTGGACAGCCATTTTACAATAAGATCTTTTAGGGCAATCCTTCGCATGACAGCCCCCACCTACCTAAGGCAGCAACATCCCCCCACCCCCCAATGGCAAGCTTTGAGGTATAGGACGGAACATGAGTAGCAGTACCACAGACCACAGAGAAGTTTTATGTTCTACAGTCTGTGGACTCATCTCAAAACATGAAGATAATATGCAAATAGTAATCTCCCAATAAGACATAAAAATAAGCATTTTATAATTTAAAAAATATTCAATTCTTAAAACATAGGAGATAGCTATCATCATAAATGTGGCCTTTCGTAACTTAATTCCAGTGAACTTGTAAAAGACCAATGGATTTCGTAGGATATACTGCCCTCTTGTGGTAAATTTTCAGCATCAACGCGAATCTGCTCGGCTACCGTGACACTCATCGGCGAACGCAAGTCACGATGTATTTTGCTTATGCTATTTCCTAATGCATTTCATTCATCAATCCATCTCTAGTCATCTTATATACTATTCATGCAATAAAGATACACTCAAAGTTATACCTTAGTAAGCTGCTGACAATAAAAGTTTCAGAAACTTGCAGTTTAAGTAACAAGAAAATGTCCATATGAAAGTCCATAAAAATAAATGACTTGAACTCCAAGTGTATTTAAAAAATATACTAAATTACTATAAGACTGACAATTCTTTTCATGGGTAAAAACTGTTTCTTTCAGCTTGCTTAAGCGTACCTATTTTAATCTTTCATGTGCTATTCTGTTGAATCCGTATTGCTTTTTCTCAGGTACAACAGTCACATAGGAGTCCACAAGTTGTGCACTTTATTTCGCCGTTATTGGTTTTCACCCTGGATTTTCTGAAGCAGGTATTCCACCTGAGCATTCAGGTTGGGTTGACCTTTCCTGGTCTTTCTGCTGAGGATCTTGTATCTCTCCTGTTTCTTTTCCTTGTATATCTTCAGTGCATCTTCTCTTTGCTTTTTGTTCCTCATGGCTGCCTACGCAGGTAAACAAACAAGGCTTTTCAGGTCACGCATCTTCACGCCCCTGACGACACTTCTCTGTTTAATGAAGAGCATGGCTAATGCCCATTCAAATACAGCAGCAGGCCTGTTTAATGAAGAGCATGGCTAATGCCCATTCAAATACAGCA